TTGAGTCACCCGCCTAAATCCCAGCCTGGCCTGTCACACCTGCTCACCTCAAGGGGCGGAGATGGGAGCTGAGGCCTGGGTCCAGTCTCCTCCAGAAGCCCCTAAACCTCCCCTGATGTCTGCCAGAATTGCCCCCCTCTCTGCTTTGGACCTTCCCTGCCCCCTGCAAGTGACTGGATCCGTGGGGGAAGTTGGGAGAGGCTGGCCGACCCTACAGGAGGCCAGGACAGGAACAAGAGTCAGTCCAAGGTTTCTGGGGCGCCTGGCAAGGGCAGAGGTCAGGCAGACTTGAAGAGGCAGAAGAATGGAGGAGATGACCTTTTAAACTCCCTTCTAGTTGGAGGAGTAGGGGGCTGCGGCTCCAAGGGATGAGAAAAGGACCAGAGTGTCCTGGGAAATGAATGATGGTTCCAGGGGAGTCCACAGGCTGGGGTTAAGTGGGGTCAACCCTGTCTCACTCTACCCCCTCAGTGCCAGTGACTGCGCAGGGGGCTGACCCTGCTGTGGGAGCAATTGTCAGACCCAGGAAGAAGGGTGGGAAAAGGGCAGAAGCGATCAGGCAATGCAGACCAATGGGAAACACGTGGGAGCAGGGATGGACAATGGGGAGGGCGGCGGGGGGAAAGCCAAGGAACAGACCCTGCCTCCTACAAGGCTCTCCTCAGGAGAACTTATCCTCAAGTAGGAATAGAGCTGGGCAAGGAACTCTGGAGGGTCCAAGCATCATTGGGAGAGAGGGGGCTTAGACATTTTCTGGGGGCTGGAGCTAGAGCTAGAGCCAGAGGAGAGGCTCCTGTAGGGTTCCCCCTTGGTAGGAGCTACAAAGATCTCCCTGAAGCAGGGGAGACTAAAGGGGTGTGCCCAGGGGCCAGAGGAAGGTGGTGCTGGCCCCTGGGAGAGATGGTAAGGAAGGCGCAAGACCCCTCAGTGGGCCTGGAATGTGGAATCTTAGCAGCACTGGTTGGGGGTGGGGCGCTGTCTGTCTGCCAAGTTTTCGCTGCTGCCTGGGAAGAGCCCAGCCCAGAGATCCTTATCCAGGGCAGGAACAGAACTGGTTTCTCGACTGGCAGCTGGCAGTGCCAAGGGGCCAGAGGCAGGAAGAAGCCAAGAGGTCAGGAGGGCAGTGGCAGGCCTGAAGGGGAGATGGGGGGGCCTGACTGGGGGCTCTGACCCTTGGACAACAGTCTCAGCCATCACTGCTGGGGCCTCCGTAGGCACTGTGCTTGTGTCTTATTTGCACGTGACTGATTCACTTTCTTTCTTTAAAAAATTGTTTTTTAATTGATTTGAGAGAGAGAGGAAAAGAGAGAGAAACATTGATTTGTTGTTCCACTTACTTATGCATTTATTGGTTGATTCTTGCATGCGCCCTGACCAGGATTGAGCAGCAGCCTTGGTGGGTCAGGATGAGGCTCTAACCCACTAAGCTCCCCAGCCAGGGCTGGTCGGCTTCCCATCCAGACCGAGGGACCCCCACCCAGGTCCCCCTGTTCCTCTAGTCTTTCCCTTGTCTTTCTCAGGTATGACTGGCCCAGCCAGGAGAAATACCTGGTTGGACTCTGCTCCTCCCCTCCCTCCTTCAGTCTCTTCCCCATCCCCCACTAACTCTGAAAGGCTCCTGAGGTCACTTTGGGGAGGGGAAAAGGAGCCAGGAAGAGGTGGGGGGACCCTGGAGGACTCTCCTCAGAGCCTCCTCCCTTTCATCCCCTGCAATCCCCTCTCCACCACCACAAAGGGCCTGACTGTCCCAGTCCCATCCATCTAGTGCCTGCGGTGATCCTGGAGCAGTCTTGTGTAGGGGCCTGGGGTCAGAGAGCCTGACCAGCAGGCCCTCTCTCTGCTCTTCCCCTCCTCCCCTTCTCCCCCACCTATTTTCTCCTGCATCCCCTTCCCCCAGACTCTCCCAGCCCCATTCTCTCCCTCTAAGTATCTCTCCTCTCCCTGGTGCCTGGTGCCCCAACACGTAGGTTAGCCCCCATCCCAGGGGAGAATCCCACATGCCCCCTCCCTTGTTTTTGCCTTCCTATCCTGGGGCCGAGTGGCTCAGGCCTCTCTGCTGCCTGAGCCCTTTCGGAACCCTGCCTGTGGTTGAGTTCTGAGAAGCTTGGACTGTAGGGAACATTGCCCGTGGAGATCTCACAGAGTTTTCGACATGTAGGCAGGGCATGGGATTTCCTGTGCATTTTCTCCCCAATGCACTGCTGAGTAATGAAGGCTCAGGTAACAGAAGAGGAGCCCAAGAAGGCCTTGGGGGTGGGACGGGAAGCTGGAAGGGCTTTTTCGAGGGCTGGGCCAGATGGGTGAGGGGCCCCTCCCTGATCCAATCTCTAGGTTTAGTACAGTGGCTCCTTTGTCATCTCAGGCTGGTGGGCAAGGAAGTACTGGAGAAGCAGAGCCGGGGGAGAGGCCCAGCCCACAGGGAGCCACTCCCTTCAGGGAACCCCCAATCTGATGCGGGAGACCCTGCCCCTGCCCCCTGGGATCGCCTGAGAAAGAGAAATCTGCCTCTTCTCTCTGCCTTTTTCAACATGTTTGTTCCAGAAAGAGACAAACTAGGCAGAGAAGCAAGAGCAGGTGCTCGGTGCAAACTGGCAGGCAGTTCCAGACAGGCACCAGGACCGGAAGGGGGCCGGCGGACCAGAAAGGAAGGGCTCTTTAGGATGGGAGAGGGGAGTCAAGTTAAGGTCAGAAAGGGCAGGCCTGGGAGCCAGCAGCCTGGATAGAGGTCAGACAGAGCTGGAGTCAGAGCCGGGTGAGAGGAGAGGAGCCGATGCAGAAAGGAGGCAAAGCAGGGGCTCAGGCCAAGCAGTTAGGGTTCCTCTGGATTAAAACAAACAGAAAGCTGGCATCCAGAAAGCCCAGCCCAGTTCATTTCTTCCATTTCTGAGAACAATACCAGCCCCCCAGTGACCTAAGCCAGAAGCCTGAGAGCCACTTGCCACCTCCCCTTCCCTCACTCTCCCCACCTCCCACCTAACGTGTCACTGAGGCTGCACCCTCCACCTGTGCATCCTACCCTCTGCTGAGCATCTCACTAGCCTCCCGCTGGTCTCCCTTCACTCCGCCTCTTCTCCAACCCATCTGCACTGGCAGCCAGAGGGACCTCCTAAAAACACAATGGGATGCCATTCCCCTCTAAAAAGCCTTTCGGAGCCTTCTCATTGCACTTAGAATAAACCATGAAATACTCTGGCCCTCCGGTCAATCTGGCCTCCGACCGCCCCAGCCCCGAGCTGCCTTGCGCTCCCCACGTCCCTGCCCTCCTTGGACAGCCCCAAACTGTCCTCAGGGCCTTTACCCCGTGGTTCCCTCTGCTCAGAACATATTTCCCTCTGCTCAGCCCCACTAGGTGCTTCAGGACCCCCGAGGGCTTTGTCCTCCAAAACCCCTGCTCTCTGGCCGCCTCTGCCTGCCCCCTTCTAAGTGAGGCCTCCTCTCTCAAGTCCTCTCCCTCTGCTCCTCTTCTCCTCCATGGCACCTGCACAGCATGCAATTATTTATTGGTGCTTTTTTTTTTTTTTTTTTGATTCTGTTTCCCCCTGCAGGCCCCAGGAGGGCAGAGATCTTGTCCATTTTTTTTTTTTTCATTTCTGCATTCCCAACTCCTAGCAGGGTACCCAGCTCCTAGCAGGTGCTCAGGAAATGATAGTCAGATGAATAAATAAAAGGACCCCTCACCTCCCCCCTCCCACACTGAGAGGAGACTCTGGACCCTGACTCCCCAACTCCCTGGTCCTAAACCTCTGCCATCCGCTGCAGCATGTGGCCTCTGATGGGGTAGAAACAGGAGGCCTTGGCCCCAGGGCAGCCTGGTCTTGCAGGAAGAGGAAGCTCACCTGCCAACACAGAGGCTATGAAGCATGCCCCTGACTCAGCACTGATGCACGACAGGCCCCTTCAGGCTGTGTTAGAAGCTACGGCTCAGAGAAACTAAGTGACTTGTCTGAGGTCACACCACTAGTAAGTGGCGGAACCAGGATTCCAAACTCTTATTCCAGCACTTGTGCTCATTTCACTCTGTCACGCGATAAAGGAAAGAGAGGGAGAGGAAAACCGGTTAGAAGCTGCTGCTGTATAAAACTTGGTGAGAGGCTCTGGCTGGATGGCTTGTTGGTTAGAATGTCGCCCTGATGCTTCAAGGTTGGGAGCTTGATCCCCAGTCAAGGCACATACAAGAATCAACCAATGAATGCATGAAAAAAGAGAGGAAGAAAAACCCTGGTCAGTGACGACAAGGTGCTGCATAGGGCAGCGGCCTGGGGCAGGAGGGCAAGCATCTGAGAGAGAGGTCAGTGTGGAATTTGGGAAGGTGCAGTGCAGCCCTGAGTGCAGAGGTGCAGGGAGATGGATGGGAGAACGATCCAAGGGGCCTGGGAGATCTAGGAGCCGGGTGAGAAGGGACATGTGAGAGATCGCCAGGCAGAAACAGGCTTGTCTCGGCACAGGGACCTGGGCAGAGATTGATGAGCTCATCTGGAACATGTGGGAGGCCAATGCCAGGCCTGGGGTTGCCCACAGATTGAGAAGGAACAATTGGAGGAGGAGGAGGAAGAAGTTGTGTCACCCTTGTGGGGACCGTGGGAGAGGATAGGAGTCAGCCCATCAGTGTCAGGCGCTCCTCTGAGAGGTCAGGAGGACGAGGCGCCGGTGACCTTGGAAGCCAGAGGGGAGAACCAGGAGGCCGGGGGAGGGGAGGTGGAGGTGATGTTGACGGACTCAGTAACAGATGAAGGGGTGGTGGGGAGAAGAGTGAAGGGAAGGTCCGTAACTTACACGCCTGCTGCTGAAACCTCAGCTCCCACACTTACACTAATCTATCTCCTTTCCAATGAGCCAGGGACAGATTATATTTTTTAAAACATTTTAATAACATTAACCAATAAATACTCCACATTGTATAGGCTATAGGGACAAAGAAGAAGACAGGGCCAGTCTTTCCCTCTCAGGCCCTGGTCCCCTCACAGAAAGAGAGACTGTTCTAGGCTGGTTTGGGGCTGGGACTGCCAATTTGGGGGGTGGGAGGAGCGATTCTGGACCGGGCGATCTGGGCTTTTGCAATCCGTCCTCCTTGTTGGTATGGGGGAGGAGGGGCCAAAAAAAGAGAACCCTTGCAGGAGACCTCCCAGCGCCCTGGGGAAATGCCATGGGTGGAAGGGAGAGCTAGCCAGGAAGGAGTGGATGAGGGACGGCCCACGGGGCAGTGAAGCAGGAGCACGGGCCGGGCTGCGGATGGGCTTGAGCCTCTCACTCTCGGACGTAGACTCTGGTGCACACAACGTCGTCTGCCGTCATGGTCTGGAAGGAGGGTATAAGTCATTGTTAGCCTGGGAGGCTCCTGGGAGGAGGAGGGTTGAAAAAAAGGAACTCTGCTTTGTCTCTAGGCCCAAACCTACTTCTTGGTTCAAGACCAACAGTCAGGGGCTGGTCCCAAAATGCCTGGGTATCCTGGGAGGAAGGATGGCAACAGAGCTCAAGGGGTCCACCCTACATCCTCGTCTCCGAGCCAGGGAGATCCCCTGGAGAACTGTGGGACCTCTGAGTTTCATGTCTGTTGCTCCACCCAGAAGGGACACCATTTCTCTTTTGCACAAGGACATTGTGTCAGACAGGAACAGCTCAGTCACACCCCAGCAGCCCCTTCAAGAGCAGGGAGACCAATCACGGTTGTCCTTAAACTCCCTGCACTTTGGAGTATCCCAGAAAATCCCCTGAGGTAGCAGTGGGCTTGCTCTTAGCTGGAAGGAGACAGGACTTACCAGAATCAGCTCCCCATCATTGGTCAGTTCTCTGGTCCAGGAGGTCTTAGGACCCTCTCCCTTCAAAAGCCTCTGCTCACAGACCATTTTATTCTCACTTTCCCATTTCACCAGACTCTGCAAGACAGAGGTGGCCAAGTAAGCTGGGTCCACAGCAGGCACAACGCAGGGAGAGGAAAAGGGGATGTACCCCTTCTACCCACCAGCACTCCCTGGGGACTGTTGCTATTAGAAAAAGAGAAAGGAACCCAGGGAAAGACTAGAAAATGGTGTGTTGAGAGGCAGGGGAATAGAAGGCATGGCTCTGAGGGACTCCTTCCTGGCACTCACCTTACAGGGTCTCCCATCCACAGTCTGCTCCTCAAACTCTTCTCCGATCTTGAAGTTAATCTCTGTGGTGCGCACGGTGGTAGAGGTTTTGATGTAGAAAGTGTCTCCCTCCTGTTTGATCTCCACTGCTGGCTTGGATGCAGCAGCCACAGCAATCTTCCTCAGCATCACATTCACCCCTGCAGAGAGAGGAGAGAGGCTCACGTTTCAGGGTGCTCGGGGCACCTGTGTTACACCCTCCCCATGAGACAGCTGGAGCAGTCTGCCTAGTTTCCAAGAAAGTACGCTGAAGGAGAGGGCAGGTAATGGATGGTGGGGTTTAGGGAGGAGGGGCAGAGAGGCAGTGCCCTGCCGTTAAGGATCCTTCTCCTCACTGCCACCCCACCTGGATGAGTCAGCAGTCCTGGATCACTCCCCAGAATCTCAGCTCTTTGCTCTAGGAATTCTCAGGGACAGTTTTCCCCATTCTCCTCACCCAACAGGCATCCTGCTATGAGTTCACCATGGCGCCATCCACCCCACTTTTGGCCTTGTATCTGCCCTACCTGAGACCCTTGGCCAGAGCGGGCTCATTAGAGCCACTGTGTCTTCTCTACCCAAGTGCAGGGCCGACCCTCCCAGCTCAGGCCTCGCCATCTGTGTTCTGGAAATAGGGACCCCTTCCCTCCCTCTGCTATCGACCTCTGTCTGGCGCTAGGGAGGCCTTCATTTGCCCGATCTCTGTCCCTCCCGCAAATAAGAGCAGGATTCTCAGCAGGGAAAGTGGCTGCCGGCAGCCTGGGGAAGCCAGGGGCTCTGGAATAAGATCCGTTAGGCCCTGATTTCTACCTGGTTCGGCCTCCCTTGCAGGCAGGGTGACCTTAGGCAAATGGCGTAACTTCTCTGAGCCTCAGGTTCCTCGGTTGTAAAATGGAGACCAATAGCTCCTTCCAAAGCCTAGTAAATGGGGTGAGGAGTGTTTAGGACCTAACACACAGTGCCATGGCACACCTTTGAGTTTTCAGGCAACAGTAGCTGGTCTTACTGTTGCTGTTATTTTCATTGACAAAAGGAAGGCAAAGAAAAAGTCAGAGCTGGGGCTCAGACACTCTCTGCATCAGACTCCTGCTCACTTGCCCTCCTGGAAGGCTCCCATGCCATTCGCCCTTCAAGAGACCAAAAGGGACACTGCCCTCCCCTACCTTGATATGTTCCTGAGCCCAGGATCACCCCCTGCCCTTCTGGAGCTAAGATCTTCTCATGTAGAGTCCCTGTGCCTGGCCCCCGTATCCTTTCCCAGACTGGAACCCTTCCCTCTGCTCCCCAATTATTAAGAAGGGTGTGGGGGGAAGCCCGGAGAGAGCAACCCTCTGACAGGGAGACAAGCAGGCAGGGAGGCACCTCTGGCCAGGGCCCCGGTCTAAGCTTCACACCACTTTGCCTGGCCTGGCCATCTGCCCTGAACTGGAGCAGAATCCCTCAGAGGAGCAATTAGTGGGGATGAGGGGCCAAGTTGGGCGGGGCCAAGTGAGCAGGATTTCCCTACCCTTGATCTAGCCCAAACTCCCTGGCCCTCCTCCAGGGCTCTGAGAGAAATAAACCCTTTTTCCCCTTGGCACCACAGCAGACCCACTCTGGTCCAGAAAGAGGGAGAGGGAAGGAGCGAGCCCTGTTCTTCAGGAGCCTCAGGAACCTGGTTCTTGTCTGCTGATCTCAGGTCCAGGGAGGAATGAGTGAGGTTCCAGGTCCAATTGACTTGGTGGAGGAGGAGGCTACTTCACTGTGCAAAGAGACTACTTCTTGGAGAGAGACTACTTCACTCCGTTGCTACTTGGGAAGTCCACCATGCTATCTAACATCAATCTTTCCTGTTATAGGAGCAGAACCTGCTACATGCCATGGCATCGTACTGCATGGGTCAGTTACCCTCCAAATGCCTGAGCATCCCTCACCAGGAGAGGGAGCCTTGACTGGGGCAAAGGAGGGTGAGAAGAAGGGACTGCGGTTCCCACAGGCACAAGGCTGCTGGGTTCAGATGAGACACCCTTCCAGCCGGCCTCTGCTGCCCGAGGAGCTGGGTCCAGGCTCAGCCAACCTTGGCTCACTCAGGGCTGTGTTAATGGGTCTGTTTTCAATCTGTCCCCCAGCAGGACTGGAGGAGGGCACGTGGCTCAGAGAGACCCTGCAGGGAGGACAAACAGATGAAGACAGGCAGACAACAAGGCTGGCCTTTGGATCTTATTCTCCAGCTGGGGCTTGGGTGTGATGTGTGCATTAGGCCACTGCCTCATCCACTGGGGAGAGGGGCCAAATCCAGAGAAGATGGGGGAGGGGACCACATCTAGGTTTACTGAAGGAACTTTTCTATCTTTTCAGTCTTTAATTTCAGCAAGGAGAGGAGAACAAGGAAGACTGAAGTGACTCTAAGCACTGTGGTTAGTAAAAGGCGAAAGATTTATACGATCTGAAGAGAAACCAGAGTATAAGCACTGTGGTTAGAATGCAAGAAAAACTAACAGCAAGGAGTGATAGAAATCCCTGCTTTCCCCCATAGTATTCCAGACTCTTCCTAAGTCCAGATTCACTCCTACAGCTCCATGCCCCACACAAGGTGACCCTCCCCACCCAGCCCTACTGGGTTCTCTTGGTTCAGTCCAGAAATGGATGGCTCCAGGGCTCCCAGGTCACTTCCCAACTGCTAAGCTAACCTCCATCTCTTCCCAGAGCCCTCTCTCCAGCCATTTCTGGGCTTTCGCCCCTTCCTCAGAAAGAGGGCACACAGGAGCTGGGGAAGGCCATCTGGGTGGGCACAGCCTCCTTCCCCTTTAACCACACACCCAGCTGGGCTGCAGGGTGTCTCCAGGGAGGAGGAGAAAACTCAGATTTTCAGAAAGGGGGTGCGCGGATCATACACGAAGCCTTTTGTTGAAATTGAAGAAAGTGATAATTATACACAGCAATTTTAGGATTCCAGAGTTTCTCACTGTAGAAAAATATTTGTCTCACAGTTGGGGGTCGGGGTGGGGAGCAGAGTGGGAAGTGCTAAAGGGAAAAGGAAGGAGGATCAAGGGGACGCTGAGGTGGGGATCACCTGGTGGGTGGAGAGCAGCGCAGAAAGGTTATGAACGTGCACTGGGGACGGGAGTTACCAGTGGGGACAAGGGAGGAGGCTGGAATGTCTCAAAGGATCTCGGTGGGGTAGGGACCCAGGCTCCCTGCCTGAGTGGGGGGTTTGCAGCTTCTGAACTGCAGAGACCCCCCCCCCTTCCCACCCCAAGAGATACCAACCTCGTGCTTCTGGTTTCTACTTGATTCACAGGCTGAGTCACAGCAGGAGCTGGCATCAGTGGGCTCCCCGCCAGAGAAAGCAGGATTTAGGTGTCCCGGCCTAGCGACCCGAGACCCAGGTGTACGGCCCCTTTTCTTGGGGATGCAGACGCCCAGCCTCCCACTCACTGATTCCGGACCCCCTCCCCTTTCTTTTCCTACCCTCCACCAAGCAGTCCGGCGCCCTCTCCTCTGGAGGGCGCTTGAAAGTCTCCTCACCCAGCACTTTGAGCAAATCCTCGAAGTTTTCCGATCGGATGATCTTCCAGTTGCCAGAGAAGTTGGGCATGGTGGCGGCGCTGGTGGCAGTCCCCTTAGATCTTCCTGCTGGAGCACTGAACGCTGAGTCCTTTTGTCGAAAGATATGTGGGCGCCGCCTTCGCCTGATCGTCAGACGCAGAAAGCAGGACACGTCCCAGGACAACTCCGAAGCTGGCCTGGGCGCCCGCGCGGACAGATTTTATACCCGGTACGGGCCCGCCCCTGCCCGAGAACTAGGCGGCCCCTTCTCTCGCCCCGCCTCCCACCCCACCTGGGGGGCCCTGAGCCCTAGTCCTGCATTACCAACACCATCCCCAGGCACCCCCCCCCCCCAGCCCGTCCCCCGCCTCTGGCTCTAGCGTCGTGGGCGGGACCGGAGTTTTCTTGGGACCTAGATAGCTTGCCCCGCGCCAAAGGTTGGATGGGGAGGCGGACGGAGAGCGAGCACTAGGGTTGAGCTCTCAGTTGAGAAGCGGGCGCCAGACCCGGGGCGCAGATGCTCGGGTCTTAGGTCCTGCAGGCCGAGCCCCAGGGTCATGTCTTAACGGTTCCCCACCTCTCCCCAACTCCTTGGTGACAGTCAATAGCGACATCATCAGCGAGTGAGTCCCTGCTCACGCACCGCACCGGAGCTGGGGAAGAGAATGGAGACCGAGCTCCGGCTCCACTGAAACCTGAACTGGATCCACCTTGACCACTTCGAACTTTAATTGGCTAGGAGCCCCGTGTTCCGGGCCAGGCACTTAAGTGGGGCAAGGGCGCCCCCTGCTGGAGCAACTCAAAGGGACTGGGAGGGGGCAGCACCCCACTCCGATACCCCCTGGGGTGTCGGGCTCGGATAGAACCTGGGGACTTCAGACGTTGGCCCAGGGAGACTCCTTCCTGTTAAAGTACAGGGCGGGCATCGAAGGGTTAAGCAGGAGACCCCGGAGCGAGACTGGGGAGGGCAGAGGTCACAGCCAATCACTTGACACGAGCTCTTTATTAAGGCGCTTTCCCGGCTGCTCACTCGGCTCCGCCGATCCCCGAGAGGACCGCTGTAGGCGGCAGGAGGGGAGGCGGGGACCGTGCGGAGCCCTCGCCTCGCGCTGCTCCCAGATAGGAGGGAGACTGTGTGCCCGGGGAAGGGGGCGGAGCAGGGTCTCAGGTGTCACCTTTCTCAGCCGTAAAATGTGAGGAAGGATCGGCCGCCCCTCAGCTAGTGGCTTTGAAGTGGGAGATCAAAGCAGGGGGCAGGGAACGGCTTCCCGCAGAGACCCCTGCGGTGAGGTTGGGGGGTGGGGGAGGATAGGAAAGCAGAAATGGAGCCCTGGCTGGGAGCCTCGGAAACGGGCTGAGGACCCGAGTCCCCCCACAGCAGAGAAGTGGAGCGGGGTGGGATCGGTTGGATGAGTGGGCTGAGCAGTCCGGCCGTGTCCTGCGCGGAGGGACGCTGCAGTTCAGGCGCCCTCGGTGAATCCGCGCGCAGGGCCCAGCTGCTCATACGTCCCCCACCCCCGCCACCCTTCCAGGACTGCCCTCCCAGTTCCTTCCGAGGCGGGACGAAAAACCCCACATCTGGTCCCAGCCCTGGTCCTTCCCTGCCAGCGTGGCCACGGGTGGAGCAGAGGACAGGCTCCGAGGTTCCGAGCTCTGGCCCTTAGAGCCCTGTACCGGTCTAAAGAGTTGGGAGCCTTAGCTGGGCCCAGAGCCAAAGGACAGGATTTACCAAAGCTGCGCTGGAGAGGTCGAGACTCTGATGTAAGGAGGGGAATCTCTGAATGATGAATGTGTCGAAAAACAAAGCATCTAGGGTAACTCTGGAGGTCAGACTGTAAAAAGACCTTTTTAAAGTAATTCGTATTGATTTTTTTTTTTTTTTTTTAAAGATAGAGGAAGGGAGAGAGAGAAACATCAATTTGTTGTTCCACTTAGTTAGGCGTTCACTGGTTGCTTCTAGTATGTGCCCCAACCGGTGATGGAACTGGAGACCTTGCCCTATCAGGACAATGCTCTAACCAGCGGAGATACCCTGCCAGGGCCCAGAAAGGGCTTTTGGAAGGGGCCCCACCGAAGAGTAACCACTAAACTGTCAGATTTGAAGAAGCGAGCTGTATGCCAAAGCCTGGTTTTAGGGGTCCAGGTTTTATGTGGAGAAGCTTATTTGGGGGTGGGGAGGGTTGGGTTTCTGGAAGCAAGAGGGAGGCATGTCTAGGAGCTCTCTGAGGAAGGACAGATAAAAGCAGGGGTGGTAGCAGGAAGGGGGTGTTCCCGGGGGACCTTTAGGGCCTGAGGCTGCAGACTCTGCCTGTGCTCCTCCCCCACCCACTGTCTCCGGCAGTGCTGTAGGTACAGGGAGAAGGATTAGGCTCCGACAGTGAAATCCCGGCTCCCAGCCAAAGGGAGGGAACGTGGGGAAACCAGACTCCCACTGCCCCTCCTCCTCCCTCACGGCCCCCTACTTCCTCCACCCAAGTCTCCCCTCCACTCCAGCCCTCTTGAGTCCCCAGCCAGAAGAGTCCAGTCTCCTGCTCAATAGGCCACCTACTGCAGAGAGAAGGGACAGGGCAGGTCCTTGCCCCCACAAGCCTGGTGACTGAGGGTGTTAAAACCTCAACCAGAACATGGTCACCAGGATGAGGGAGGCTAGACCCACAGGAACACAAAGGAGGAGACATGGTCTGGCTGAGGATACTGGGGAGGCTGGACAGGAGCTCCCTGGGGTGGGACAGGGGGGCCTGGGCCACCTCCCCTCCCTTTACCCCTCCCTTTACTTCCTCACTCCCCTCACTGACTAGCTGGCCAGATTTTCCAAAAAGACAGAAGTAAGACAAAGGGAAGTCAGGCTGGGGAGGGGAATTTTTTCCAGATGTGTTTGTGGTTTGGCAGCTCTGGGCCTGAGCTTCAGCCCCAGCACCCCGACCGTGGCTGAGGGAGGTGGTCCCAGGGTCTGGAGGAGGATGCTGAGCAGCTAGGCTGGAAGCCTCAGCCTCCTGCAGCCCTGTTAACCCGTTGGAAAGTGCAGGGGTGGGGGTGGGGTGGGCGGAGCTTAGGGATGAAGCTGGAGTAGGGAGCCTGATGAGAAGGCTGGGGGTGGGAGGGGTGTGGAGGGGAAAGAGGACTAACAGAGGAGAATGAGACAATGGGCTAACCTAAGAGCGAGAGGCAGGGGTTAGGGCCCTGGAACCCGGCAATGGGGAGGAGCTTAGACAGCATCAGTTGCTCAGTCACAAACAACTGGCTTTAATTTTCTGCTGGGATCAATAAGGAGAGGGAATTTCCCAGTGTCGCCGTCTTTTAATTGTGACCAAGTCTACGGCAGATCTCCTGGGGCAACCCATTCCCCCTTTCTAGGGGCCTTGGTCATACCCCTCTCTTGGGGCGCCCCCAGGAATTTGGAGACTCAAGTGGGGGAGGGTGCAAAGTTGGCAAGAAAAGCTGGGGGAGCAGAGGCAGGATGGGGGTGGGGTAAGGAGGAAGCAGGCTGGAGAGTTAGGAAAGGAGAGGTTGTTCCCACTGCAGTGTGGCGAAGAGGAGAGTGGCCGGTTTACAGCAGAAGGAATGGAGATGAGCAGGCGTCTGGGTGGCCGGGGGAGTGTGAGTGAGAGCGCTGTTTGCGCCACTGACAAGTCTGGGCCTCGGGAAAAGGAGATGCGCCCGCCCCCTTCCACCAGTCCCTTGAGGCTGAGTCGGGGGAAGAATGGGAAGAGTGGGAGAGTCCTGTACCCCTCACACTCACCCCCAACTGGGGGCCAAGGAGAAGCTCTGGCCAAATTCAGCACTTGTGGAAGGGCCTCGCCCTGAGCAGTGTTATTGCATCTGCTGGGTCAGAGAGTCTGTTGGCTGGGAATCATGGAGAAATGAAACCCAGGTCGGGGTGGACCCTGGGTCTCTGACACTCCCTAGAGGAGCAACAAAAAAGGCAAGACATGGACAGAGGGTGGGAAGTCTGAGAGTGGAAGAAAGGATTTGGGAGTGGCTGGACCAGCACAGCTATGTCTCCTGGCCTCCCTGAGCCCTCAGTTTTCCACTTAGTGCAGAGTGTGGACTAGGGCGCATCCTGCCTCTTTGTCTGGTCTGATCCTCCACGTTCCATTCCCGCCTCCCTGGATTCAGGGGCCCAGCCCTTTTTAAATCTGGTAAGGCCTGACTCTGATTCTCCCAAATAAAATTGCAGCAGGGTGGATGGGAGTTAGACCAAAAGTAGCTTCCGGCAAGCTGAAGTGCAAGCTGAGAGGCGGGGCCAGAGAGCCAGTAAAAGGCTACACCTTTCCCAGAAAGCTTTTGGAGCTGGGAGAGACCCTGAGAACTAAGGAAGGTATGGTCAGCCGGACTCAAACGTCACCTGACAGTGACGTCTGGGGCGAGCTCCAGGCCCTGGCCAAGGGAGGCAGGTGTGCCCCGATAGGATCAGGACCATGGCGGGGTGGGGGATGCTGCAGTACGGTTAGACCAGGAATGGACTGCAAAGCACCCAGGCAGCCAGGCGGCTCCTCTGTTGTTTTTGGCTCTGCTGCCTGGTTCCCAACTCCTGCTGCCAATGCTCTCCTCTGGGCTGGGCCCAGGCGCTGAGCAGGCAGGCTGAGCCAATGGAGGGACCAGGGAGACGGAGGAGGTGGGGATGCACTGGCTGAGGACATGTCTGGACTAATTCTCTGTCCCCTGAAAGAAGGCCCTGGCTCTGCTGCCTCTTTGGGGTGGGGGAATAGTGTACGGGTCGTCATTGGAGAGCCTGGAGACTCTGAACAGGTGCCGGCAGTTGCCACACCGATCTTATTCTCTGACCCTGGGTTTTTTGCTTCTCTGATCCTGTCCTGGCTCTACCACCCAGACTGATGCTTCTTGTCAGTTGGGCATGAGGGGGTGGGTGCAGTTATCTCTTTGCCCACTCAGGCCTCTGATCAATTTCCTCTCCTACAACAGTGAAAGACACCAACTCAAATCCCACCAAACCTCCCTGCTTCTCAGAAAAACTCCAGGGAGAGGTGGGGATCCGGAGTCTCTGGGACTGCAGGGGGGAGTTGCCAACATCTAAAGCTGGACAGACCTGGGCCTGAGCCTGGCCAGCTGTGGCTCCTTCTCCCATCCAGGGCAACACTGCTGGATAAAGAAGTTAGTCAGCAACACGAACTGTAGTTAAACTCCTCTAGGCTTTTATGATCCAGTAACTAGGGCCAGATCCCTCTGC